GGAAGTGGTCTTCACCGCACACGATGTCGATAATCACGTTCCTAAAGAGTTTAACATTGATAGGTGAGAGTAAATTGGGAATCAGTGAATAACAAGTAATTGCTATTGGCTATTATGCTCAATTACATGTAATAAAAAAATTTCAACTGGAAAAATATGTTTCGGTAATTCAAATGCATGGAAGCTATGTGTTCGTCCTTACCAGAGAATCATTATGGCGTTAGCATTAGTCTTAAAACATTTGATGAAAGTTGAAATCCAGAGTTAATGTCCCAATATATAATGAATGCAAACTTTAACAAAATTTAGAGACCCAACCGTTCTCGACATTCCAAAGAATCTTTTTGAGCGGAGGACTGGGCTTTAAGAACATATACACTTTCATGTTAAATAAAGTTACCAGCTCCACGAAATTTATATAATTGCCGACTTATAGCGTCTAAGAAAATTTTCGAACATTTCCGAGCAACCCCCCTGAACAAACTTAATTTGTTGAGGAATCAAACTTCTACAAAAATTGGTCTGTACCTTAATCTTAGTTGAAACTCAAACTTAAACATTTTTTTTCTTGTTAATAATGTGTCCATACTGAGGTCGCTTTGGTCTCTTTTTACAACAGGTATCCTGGAACAGAAAATGGATCAGTGAAGAAAGAAAATGAGCCAGGTATTCACGTCAATCCAATGTTTAATAATAACAACAAACTTTTCAACCTTGTAAATGATACAAACCAAACAAATCCACCTGCCAAAGATACAGCTAACAGTCTACCGTCAACCCCATCCAGAAGTCGGATCCTAAGTGAACCCAGAACAGGACCAGCACGGCATGGTAGAGCAAATAGCACTGGTAACGTATCCAAGAGTCACGAAAGGCAACACAGCCAAGGCATATCTGATTACCAAGACGAGAGGACGCGAATACCTCGCCACCTCAGTGCCGGAAATGTATCACATCAGCATCGTCACATGGTCTCTGAACATGCTTCGCATCCTCAATCTCCTGCTAGGACGCTACCCCGTCAAAGAACTCCCACCGGTAACCACTGGCATCAAGCTGCACAACCAACACATACAAGTGGAACTTCTACCCCGGGGATGATAAACAGCACATCGCAGCAACATTTACCAGCCAGATCAGTTTCAGGGGGAACTCTATTGAGTCAGAGCTCCACCTCGAACAGCAGACAGCAAAGTCCGGGTATTGGGCAACTGTCACCCTCAAGAAACTCACAGCATAATCCTCCTGATCATTCGCTGAGGGATGTCGGACTAGTAACGCTTGGCAGGGATCGAGAGCCGAACAACCAAGGAAAATCACTTTCAATGGCTCCTGGAGAGCAACAATTTGCTACACACAATTCAACACGATATCAAAGAGCCAACGTTGGTCCAAATTCTCTACTGAAAGTTTCCAGCTCTTCAAATGCGACTTTGGGGCTCAGTAGCAGCAGTGGATCGAACAGTCCCTACACAGCTCAACGAAACACTCCCATACTAAACAGGAAATGGAGTGAGGTAAAATCAGAAAGTGATGTTGTTCCAAATATAACAACAAACCCAAATTACATCAACAGGCCGGGCGAAATATGGTTAGATGACAGCGATCCCAACACGGGACACAAGGATGCAACAGGCAGAAGCTTAAGCACTGACCAAGGCAACAAGCAAGGTGGTATCCTTCAGCACAGGAGAGAGTCTGCTGAAAAAAGCTCCTCGCAAGAGCAGTTTCCTCCTAAAGGTACGATGCGTGCTCCTAGCATGGGAGAGCTTCTTTCTCCTTTAGATGCCTTGCCAGATGCATATGCAAATAGTACAAGTTTGCGTTTATCTGACCGGCATTCTTATAGAAATACTCAAGGAACTTCATCTTTTCACCCTTCTTCTCCTCAACCCCCGGAGCCACCAGACAGTTCTGATGATGATCTTTATAGTATCGTAGCTAAGGGCACCTATACATCAGCAGTACCTGACCCTAACTTAAGACACACCACTAGGGATACATCTGTTGGAAGAGAAGGTAAAACCAGAAGTAAGCACGTATATGTAGTTGTACCCTCAGGGGACGGTTCGACTGCGGTGTAACTTCACCTTCAACCAATGGATGAGAAGAGGAGATAATACGCAGCTGACGCAGCCAAAGTCCTTTTAAGAGGACGAGAACGTTGATCATCGTATCAAGCTAGTTTATATAACTTATGCTAGTATAAAAATTTAGTGTGCCGCCCTGGCTCAAGAAATTCCCTGTCTGTGTGCTGGAGGACTCAGTCTGATGTAGGTCGTGGATTGCTACTGGAAAGGACAGCTTAATTAGACTATATTAATGCACTTTTGTTTGGTTATCTTCATTTCTTAATATCTCAAAACGCCTTTTCCTCGTGCACTATCATTTCTAAGTTCTCTGGGGGTCGAGGTATTTTCTCTGACTTTGACTTACACTTTCCTTTGCACTTCTATTCCCGTTTCTCTCGATATCGAGCTACTCACTTACAGTGATCAACATGACAATGTCTTTTTGCTTTACTTCAGTGATAGAAAGCGCCAACGATAGAAATGTTGACGATCTCCAACCAAAAAATACCGAAATTTCTGTCCTCGATAAGATTTTGGGACTGCCTCGATTCTTCTTCGGAAAACGAGAAGGAAAACTGCCAACAGAACAAACCTGATCATAAAATCAAAGTGTGAAAGACATTGTAGACAGGCGAAGGTACATGTTTAACAAAAGACATGCTCTGCTTAAAAATAACTAATCCTTCATGACAAGTATACAAGGCAACCATACAACACACCAGACAACAGTTATCAGGAACCGATTGACAATATTCACCAATGACATTAACGTAAAGTTGACAGGTCTACGGAAAAGAAGGCAAAAGGGTGAGTCGTTCAACTTGAAGGTGAAACTAAAAATATATTAACTCTCTTCAACATTCAAAACAAACTTACAGTAGACATCACTCATCGCATTGGACTGAGTCTTCCAAGACGCAGGACGATTAAATTTATGCGTCATAATCAAGAGATCAAGAGGCGATTTTTCGCCAGTTACGAAACGCCTATGGCTGTTGTAAAGATAACTTTGTGCTGCAAGAGAGATTTTTTGTCTGTAGGTGGTGGGATTTTTTCCAGCGTCGTAGACTTGGTTGACTTCTTCGAAATGATCTTTTCTAAATGAAAACTTTACTCAGATTCTGCCTGACTCAGCTATAGATTCTTGGTGACAAACGCAGAATGTTAATAATTCGGATGGAAGTGACAACGCTGTTGAATGGAATTAGGATTTTATTTTACACATTGTGGTACTTAGGATTTTTAGCTTTGTTGCGAACAATTTGCAAATTAAGAGCGTTGTAGACTGATACTACTTTTTTTGCAGCAGCTTCATCTTTTTTGATATCGCGAAGGGCAAACTGGAACTGAAATTTTTTATTTCATTCGGTATAACAGTTGAACAGCATTCGCTTTGTTAGGGGGTTTTTATTCTCGAAGGGAACGAGAGCTGGCTTTTGTATGTTAATAAGGGAAATCATCGGGTGTTACCTCTCTCTCTCTCTCTTCGTTCATTCGAATCGTTTGCAGAACAAACCCGGGTCTCACCGACACATATGGCCTGAGTTTAGTTTCGTTATGGGAATAAGAGGAATAAGGGCGATAATAGCTTTTTCTTTGTTCATATCCCATAATAAAATGATTGTGTCTGTTACCTGCTCAAGGCTGGCCCTTGCAATATAGTTGTTTTTCAGTAGAATTGAGCTTATATTAAGTAACGAACATTGCCATCAGATTAATAGTCAAGATTTTTAAATTGTTAGACTTATAATTACCAGTGTGCTCTCCTCGTAGAGACATCTTACCAAAACGTTAGCAAAGACTACGAAAAAGAATCAGCATGCAGCAAAAGAGCACCTGTGTTCTTGGAAACTGGTAGCTCTAGTACAGTGTATTTAAAGAGACAACCGTCAAAGACAGGACAGCATTTTTTTCGTGACAAAAGCATCTTTTTGTAATGCTTTAATAGGTCTGCAATGTGTTTGTGTGCACCACACTGTGTGCCAAATTTCATAAAAGTTTTCAGCTGATAAGTGTTTTGTCTAAGGTGCTACTTCAACTTGCAAGAAACCGGACTCGTCTAAGAAAAGCTAAATTGCTTCCAAGCGTTTGATACAAAATCCTAATCCTGTAAACATTGCAGGCCTGTTTCTGAGGCAGCAGTTTCATCCCCAGGTTCCTTTGTTGTGGACCATGCCATCACAGGAGCGAAAACCTGGAATAAAACTATCGGCTGGGAATATATTCAGCAGTAAATTAAGAAAAGGTAAAGTAATGAAACCCTATTTCTCATTCACAGAGATCAAACCTGTTTGACAAGTCTGGCGTTTAGTCTTGCATGTATGGCGCATTTATAGTGACAGAAGGAAAATAAAATCATGTTTAACCGTACGTCTTATTGACGACACAATTTCATTGTCTAAGTGGCCTAGGGTAGCAACCTTGTAAATGCCGGCGCAACTCGATTATTCGGACACGGGATTGGACTGAATAAAGAGAGTCTGGATAATCAGAAATATGTATGTTAATGAACCAAAAATAAAACTGAATACGAATCACTTAATCAATACTATACAAGAATTACAGGGCTGTCTTAAATTATCGTGTATCACTGCTAACGTTGGCTAAAGTATTTACAAAGCATTTACGACAACAACGTTTTACGACCAAAAATGCTGACGTAGATGTACAAACTATAACATACAAACTATCGGTATATTTTATCCGTGATTGCCTAAATTTTTCCCCACCAATCCGAAGCAAATATGAAAACTCCTCACAGAGCAATATCTAGGTCATTACATCGACTAATTCACACAGCGTAAACAGAGAATGGCGCCCCATGAGGTCATCTTCTAAATTAACTAAGGTTATTTTATTACTGTTGGTCGCGTTCTCATGATTAAAGATGATGTTCAGTTTGTCAAAAAGAAAGAGGTAACCAGACAATACAGCCACGCAGTTTTATTAATTTTACATTGAGGTTTCAAACTGCAAACTTAAAATTTTCGTTTCCGGCTTAAAATTATAAGCAATCCATTTTCTATTTCTAAATGCTCTTGTGGCTTAACTCAATCAGCAATCCTTGGTTTACATCTTTTACTGATTAACATCCTGGAGTTCGTCTCTTTCCATTTTGCAAACATCGTTCATGGTAGCGCACATGTTCCTAATAGTCCTCCGGACATTACTTAATTTCTGCAATTGAGTAAAAACGTAACAATTCATTCTTTAAGGTAAGCTGAAGAAAAATATACTCGTGGGCATGTATACATTACTTTTGTTCCTAGCGATACTGATTCTTGCTTAAAATGCTAGACCACCTCTTTTCCTTCCGATTCGTCATGTTAATCAATAAATTACCGCCAAACATCGCCACAAGAAAGTGATCATGATTATCTAAAACGAAACCGACTATCTTCACTTTCCCTTTATTATTCTCTTTCTTTCCTTCTTTCTTTCTTTCTTTTTTTCTTTCTTTTTTATTATTTTTTCCGTTCTTTCTTTCTTTCTTTGCTTTGTATCTGTATTTCAAACTTGCTGCCTTGAAGTTTCCCTTCAACTGCAAAATTTGTATATTCCGATTTATGGCTAAGCCAAGTCGCACTTAAGTGATCAGATTTCGAGAAGTATGAAATCAAACATCAGTCCTTCAAGAAAGAGCTGAAAGAGAGGGCAAATTTTACGTTCAGATAGGATTTCTGAAGCCGAAACAATTTCAATGAAAGTAATGGTCACATTATCACGTTTTTCTTATTCGTGGGATTTAATTGCAAAAGGAGCGAGTCCGGTCCTTTTTTTGTCCAACTACAACTTTTTCCTATCTTCAGTGCGAATGCCAAGTGTTGCATGTAATAACTCAAATATAATTTATCTCGTGCCTTTTCACGCCATCGATGACCCGGCCCATCTAATAGCCACAAACGTATAAAAGATTTCAATGAACTGCATTTCTGTAGGGCGTCATTTAAAAAATAACGCAATTTTAAAACACATTTTAAAAAATCTCATAGAAAAAAAAAGAATGAAATTTACCAAGACGGATGATCTCTTTCCATTAAAGTCAGGGTTGTGACTTGCAAGTGCCTCCGTTTCGGACTTTAAACTGGCTGCTAGCAGAACACAAAATGTTACAATAATAATCTTGCCGTCCATTTCTGAAAAGTAAGTGAAAGATAAACGACTTTAACCTAAATGAACGTCTGCTCACGAGCTCAAATTTATAGTGGACCCTTGCACATATTTAGTTATCTAATACTTAAAGATATGCCCTCAAATGGGTTCCTCTGACGCCAACATTGTCTCCAAAGTGTGGTTCATTTTATCACAGAATGTATCAAATGTCCTAGCAGCCGCCCTACGAGACAAGGTCAAATTTAAGTTAAAGAGCAAAAGCATTAGATACCAGAGATTCTAAATACGTTAACAAGCATTCTCTTTGATAAATCAGTGATAAAAAATACTGATAATCATTAATACGATGTTTTTGTTGAGCAACGTTTAATTTTCGATGATAAAATAACATACAGAAAAAAAGTGAAAAACAGGCTCCATTATAATTTTAAAAACACGAGCAGGTTGATAAAAGGTAACATTAATTGCCTGTAGTACAAGATAGTACTGATTGGGACAACAGCAAAATAGTGTTTGAACATCTGTTTAGTACTTAAGAAGTAAATGCGTCTCTAATTGATGTACCGCCCATTTACACGTTCAAAAAACGTTAAAAAGATCAATTTTCTTTAGTCCACTTCTAAATGGCGACAGTTTGACGGAAAATGAGAGTAACATAAATCGTGCCTTCCAAGGAAATTAGGTCATAGCGTTCGAAAAACCACTTATTTTTGTAATGCATTGTAGTTTAATTTTTTTTATATCATGATTTATTTTACTAACAATTTAAAAAATATGTGCTAGCCTTATGGTCATTAATGTAAGAAAGAGACAATAGCTTGAGCTAGGGGTTTGGCGTTAGCTTTAAGAAAGTAGTCATCATTCCAGAAACTGAACGTCCGAAAGCGAAACCTTTTTTTTTTCTTTGTGAAGTGTTTCTTCGCCATTTTTATCTATTCAAAGTAAATTATTATTGAATCTTAACAGTCAAATCATTGGTTAACCAAAATTGAAAAACTTTCGAGGTTTTGAGAGATTGAAAGCATTAATCGCTGTGATCGTAAGTGTTCATTCTTTAGTAAAAAGGTATTTTTAAGTGTAACGATTTCGACAACCAAGGTACAGAAAAGATTGAAGAAACTTGGCGTTTTTCTCGCTAAATTTGCCAGAGTAAGAGTATAAGAAAGATAAGGGGGTGGAAACAGGCTCAGCTTTTAATGATGATGAAAAATGAATTTGAAAGCGATCTTCGTAGTTATGAACGCTTCTTAAGCAGTAGTGAAAATAAGGCCTGAAAAAAAAATCATAATCCGTAGTTCACATATATGATGTTCATACATTTAGTTATTTAATTCTAAAACAAAAGTAAAGAAACAAAAAAAATTTTCGTCGTCCAGATTTATTATTGCATGACGCTGAAGAGATACAGAGTTTAACGGTGGTTAAGTGAAAGACTTCAATTTGCATGAAAGGCAGCGGGGTGGGGACGCTGGTGGGGGGGTGGAGGGGTATACCCGTTGGCGTAATAGTAGAGTACGAGGGATTACGGTTTGGACTAAAGGACGGGCATTACCGAACAAAACCTGCTTAAAGAGTGGGCATACAACATGTAGAAAAATTGTCCACCAAAAGATTGATCCGTATGAAAACGTTCAAAGACCGCGGTGGCTGTGTAGTCCGTCTAATCAATGTCTGCCAAATGATTGCGTAAACCGTTGTTAAGCATTTCAGTATAAGCGCGAGGACTGACTACACCGCAAAACCTCCATAGAACAGGCGTGAAAAACAGCACATACTAGAAGGTATCAATCATTCAGCGTAGTTCTACCAAAGGATTCATGTCTCTAAAAGCTTAGTGAACTAAACGCTAAGCTTACTTGGGTAACTTTAAAGAAATTGGAGTCCCATTGCTCAGAGTAAAACTCGTACAGTCATCCGACTGCTTCTCAAAATGCAACAGACCATACTGCTTTTTGCGATTAAACAGTCCACTTGTACACTTGATATAACTTACTTTTACGAAAAGCGAAGACTCAGTTGCGTTAAAATTTATTCATTCGAAAGAGCATTTCAGTCCCAAAAATAAGATTCGCTACTTCTTCCATCTTTTTCCGATTAGTGTAGATGGGTAAGCCTGACTCGGCATACGGTTGAATTGATCCGCTACAGTTTCAATTGGTCGCATGTCTGGTTCATGACAAATGATTGGTCAGTTTTCTTAACTTTAAGACTCGAGTAGTCCTTACTGAACTGGCTATCTTCGTTTCGTTAGTTTTACGTTGATTTCGTGTACTGGTTCTTGTCGTTGTTGCTATCTGTGTAGGATCATTACCTGAAAGTAGTTCCCCCTGTAGACCAGGTATTGACAAGAGTGGCTGTCAAAAGAGCGATACGTGAATGGATCCAGGTCAGTAATGTGACCGTCGATATCACCAACAACATTTCCCTGTTCTCCACACTCGTTTGTGTTAGGGCGGTCTTTTCTGCAGGCTTCTGCCATAAGCAGCACCCGATCCTGTTAACCGATTCTTGTCTTTTGTTTGGATCACCCCAAAAAAGGGCAAGAACGTTGCTCATGGATGTCGTAGAGTACAGAGCAGTCCTCTAACTACCTACGCGGATATCTAAATTTTTCGGGCGTACCCCTGGCAAGCAGTGTAGTCAATGAAGTCGTCGGAGTCGTGTCTGCGTTTTGTTATGTATTTTCCGAAGTACTGTGGGTGTTTAAGTTCAGTGAAGTCTTCCTTGTAATTGATCAGGGGAAAAAACACGGCTTAAAAATTTGTTTTCGACCTATAGATTTAATTTTATGAATATTGCCTGTCCTTCATAATTTGAGGGGTCTTTTTTTCTGTTGATAGCGGTCTTACTATTAAAAAAGGATAATCTGAATCAAATCAAATAAAATAATCAGAAAATACACGTAAGCAATCTTTATTATTTTACAAGAAGGTTTAAACTGTGACCTTTGAAAAGATGTTGTCAGCTTAGCTCAATCAGCAATCCATTTTGAAGTTTTTAATGTTGTAGTCTTCTGATCTCAATTATCAATCCAATTTACATCTTTTGCTGATTTAAATCCTGTAGATGTTTTCCCTGCGTGTCTCCTCCGGCAAAACTGTAAGTAAGTAAAACAGCTGATCGGTTAGAGGTATTTGACGAAACATTTACTTGTAGGCATACATGGATGACTTTTCAAAGAACCTAGATGTACCTCCTCTCTACTGTATAAAAGTTCAATCGGCAAAGATAGGGGAAATGGAAAACACCTTGCAACTTGCGAACTGCCAGGAAATTCACCAAGAAACTCTCAAATGTGTGGCTTAAAATACTTAACTTGATCTTTCTCACCCGATTGCCAATGTTACTCAAGTAAACCACCACTAAGCAAGCCATAAGAAAACAAAAACCTATTTAGTTATGATTGTCGTCAACTTTTAACCCTGCCAATTATCTCTGAGTTTTCCTTTCTCTCTGTCTTCTGTCTCTCTTTCTGTATTTTTTACTTTTTCTGCTTCGTTGCTTATTTTATTATTTGATTTCTTTTTATATTGCTTCCTTTTTTCTTTGCTTATTTTATTATTTGATTTCTCTTAGCATTGCTTTTTTTTCTTGCAACTTTTCCTTTCTATTGCAATTCTGTGTACTGTGTCTGAGCCAGGTGGCATTTGCGTGAGAAAGAGAAAAATGAAATCTAGCATCAATCGTTCAAGAAAGAACCAGCGAAGTTAGAAAATTTTATTCTCAAACGAGATCTCTGAAGCTGACACATCAACTGGCTCCGTCAATAGCAGTAACATTGTGAATAACGAATGATGGTTATGATTTTCTACGTTGCTGTGAGGCATCATTATTACAAAGCAAACATGTCACACAAAAAAAATTAAAATAATTTACCGAGCGAAGTTCTCTCTTCCCATTGAAGTTACAGTCTTGACTAAAAACTGCCTCTGTTTCATACATTAAACGGGCCGCCAGCAGGACGCAAAATACTAAGGTGATAGTCTTGCTGTTCATGTCTGGAAAGTAAGTGAAACCTTCATTACATGTCCGTTCACGAGCCCATATTTATAGTGGAGCCTTGCTCATAATTTGTCATGTAATACTGAAAGAAATGCCCTGAATAGAGTTGTTTTGACGCCAACATCGTTTCCGTGGCGTGGTTAACCAGTTTTATCTCAGGATTAGTAAATTGCCCCAACAGTCGCTCCAGGAGATAAGGTCAAACTGTAGTTTAAGAGTTAAAGTTGGAATGCTAGAGAGGTCAGAAATAAGTTGACATGCATTATTTTTAATCCATTAGTAATAAAAATAGGGATAATTATTTTTAGGTTGCTTTTGTTGGGTAACATTTTATTTGATGATCAAAAAAAATACAAGAAATAAAACGAAAAAAGAAAGGTTTCCATTTTTTATTTAAAAACACGAGCAGGTTGATGAGAGGTAGCAGTAATTGTCCATAATATAAGATAGCGTTGAGTGGGACGACAGCTAAAGAGCGTTTGGACATATGTTCATTACTTAAGTAAATGTTTCTCCAATTAATCTACTATCAACCTACACGACAAAATAACATTTGAGAGACTAATCTCCTTTGGCCCACCTCAAAATGGCGGTAATCAGATGGAAAAAGAACCCCACAATTACCGGATTACTTCCTTCCACGGAAATTAGTTCATAGCTTTCCTAAAAGCACTTATTTTTGTATTAGTAGGGTTTTTTTACATATCAGTGTTGATTCTAATGGTATTTAACTGGCTTTCAATGATTTGTACAGTTGTACGTTCACGAAATGCGTTGCTTTACGTTCATGATTTAACGTAGACACGATGAAGAGGTTGTCGAGCTACAAAAAACGCAGATTAAGCTCGGTTAAGTTTTATTTTTTGGAAATAAAGCCGGTTAGCAAATTTAAGGAGTGCTTCCCTAGCTTTTAAAAATGTAATTATCACGAAGGAAATCGTCCCATAAATGATATCGAACATTTTGTTCATTTGCGACACGATTCTTAGCGACACAATTGTTAGCGATTTTTATTCCTCGAACGAAATAATTCCTTGATCTTACCCTTCAAATCATTAGTTACCGGAAATTAAAAAAAAAAAAACCAAAAAACCACTTGATAAGATGTTGTGAGGTTAAAAGGCATACATATCTGCGATCTTGAGTGGGCTTCAGGAATATTCCGCTTTAAAGGAACCCTTCCTCGTGAAATTATATCTTAAATGGTAGAGATTTCGGTAGCCAAGGTACAGAAAGATCGAGGGAGCCTAGAGTTTTTTTTATTAAACTATGAGCATTACCGCGAAAGGGTTTCTTTACGATTGAATTTCAAAAGGTTATTCACCAGAGGTCGATCAACCAGAGTCTTTCGTTTAAAAGCATTTAAGGGCCAGTGTGTCTGTGTGGCTGTGCAGCCTAGTCTAGCCAATGTCTGCCAAACGACCGAGTAACAATTAAACTTTTTGTCAGAATAGGGATTGATTAGACTAGAAAGCCTTTCCATAGTATGAAAATTAAAAGCATTATATACTAGAAGGCGTCAGTCTGTCAGTCAGTCTAATTCTTCGTGAGGGAGTTACTTCTATGATCAACTAAACACTAAGATCATTATACAGTCTACCTGATACTACATAAATATGCACTCTTATCACACGGAGCAAACGCTCACAGAAACACATAGGAAGACTCACATAGTCACCCAACTGGATTTAACGATACAAGAGACAATACTACCCGTTTTAATTAAGCAGCGCACTTGCAAACTGGATTTAACTTGCATATACAAAAGCAGTTTTTCCGTCATAGAATACTAGCGGTTGTCATGTCAGAATAAAGAAAAGTTCCCTTTTCAATATGTTTGCAATGAGACACAAGCCCGGCTTCTATAAAAAGGTGAAAAAATACCCGCTTGGAAAAGCGTTTCAGAACCAAAAATTTTGCTTGCTTTCTCATTTTTTCTTTTTTGGATTGGTGAGGATGGTAGGCCAAATTTAACGTGAGGTTGAAGTTGCTCGTTCACATTCATTTTTATCCGGTATAGTCTCGATGGGGCCTGTGTCTGGTTCATGGCAGCTGATTGGTCATTTTTTATCGTGGTATCATTGACTGTATCACTCGAGTATGTCCAAATTGGTCAGCTTCATGGTCAATCGCTTCCATCTGAGCATCTGATCTTATCACCCGCTTCTTGTCTTTTAATTGGTTCATTCAAATAAATGGCAAGAACTTTTATCATCAGTGTCATTGCGCTCAGACTGGTTTTGAGCCACGCGAAAATTTTAAGGTTTTAGAAATGCCCTCTGCGTGGATTGTAGTCAACGTAGTCGTTAGAGTTGAGATTGGGTTCTTTTTCTTGTTTCCGTGGTATTGTGATCGTTGACTTAATAAAGTCGGTCTTTTACTTGCTCTTGGACAAATAACGGCTGAATACGTTAAATTTGTATTTGTTAATTGACGACCGCATCAATAATACGAATATCGTGACAGTGTCCTTTATAATTGAGGGGTCTCTTATATTGGTTGATCGCGGTCTTATAAATAAAACATAGGATGACCAGTTTTTTTAAGATCAATAGAAACACTAAGAAAAAACGTGTGCATTTTTTATGGCAGATAAACAGATAAACATCATCGACCTAATTACTTATTACGAGTATCGAGACAGTCCCCTTTATGAAAGGGTCGTTTTTTCCTCGATTAGTGCCTTATGAAAGAAAAAGGATATTCAATTTTCTGAGATAAAAACAAAATCGTCAGAAAATTCTTGCACGCAATTTTATTGATTTTACAAGAGAGTTTCAACACCTCTGAAATGTTCTAGTCAGCTTAGTTCACTCTTCTATCCATTTAACACCTTGAATAGTTGTAATCGGTTTAACTCAACCAGCAATCCATTTACTTCTTTAACTGATCAAAATCCTGCAGTTCGTCTCTTTCCGTTTTGCAAACATCGTTCATGGAAGCGCACAGGTTCCTGATATTCCTCCGGACATTGCCTAATTTCTGCAAGTGAGTAAAAACAGTTCATTCTTTATGGTTGACTGAAGAAAAATATACTCGTCTGTATTCATCGATGACTTTTTAAAAGTATTATGACGTCATTTGCGGCACCCTTATCACTATGTCATGAAAAGTAACGTTTAACTAAGTTAAGAGTAACTGAAGATACCTCATGACTTACGAGCTGCAAACTAAACCTAATTTTTTTTGTATTTTCATCCCTGATATATGGCAGATTTTATATTTCGAGAACTATGAAATGTGACATCGATTCTTTAAGAATAAACAAGTTAAGATAGCAAATATAACAATTGGATGGGAACTCTAAAGCTGGCACGGCTTGAAGAGAAGAAATGTTCCCTTTTTTCTTTTTGGATTAACATCACAGCAGCGTGAGCTTTGGCCTCGTTCTGTCCGACCTCAGTTTTTATCATCCCGATTTTAGAGAAAAAGGCCATTCATCAATTCCAATTTGATTAAGTTCGAGATCCATAAACGTCACCAATAACCCCGCTAAAGCTGGTTGTTTCATGAAAAAGTTCAGTGATATTTCTAACTGACTGCACTGCTGTAGGCCATAAACTGGAAAATTAGGGGATTTAAAGAATTTTGAAAAAAAAACAATATAACAAACTGACCAATGATCTCTTTCCATTATTGTCCGGGTTCTGGCTGTAAACGGCCTCTGTTTCTGACATAAAACTAGCTGCCAACAGGACGCAAAATACCAACACGACGGCCTTACTGTCCATTTCTGAGAAGTTAGTGAAACCCAAATGGCCCTCAATTTCTGGATGATGTCCATTCGCGAGCTCTAATTTATAGAGGACTCTTGCCCATAATTATTGTGTAATACTCTTAGAAATATCCTCGTTAGAGAGGTTCTGACGCCAAAATCGTTTCCTCGACGCGCTTTTTGTTTTATTTCAGACTGTATAAATAATCCAAAAAAGCGTCCTACGAGAGATGTCAAACTTTAGTCTGAGAGTAAAGCTTTGAATTTTGAAAAAAGTCAAAAATAAAGACACAGGCAGTTTTGGTAGTCAATCAGTTATAAAAATAGGGATGATGTCTTTTTTACCATATTGTGATGGTGAAAAATCGTTTATTTTTCGATGCAATGAGTGGACTGCACATATCAAATTATGCCAAAAGGAAAAATAAACACTAGCAAAAAATATTTCTCTGAAACAGTTGCACGTTGATAATAGGGACAACAGGAAATGGTGCTTTTAACATGCGTGTTTCCATAATTGCCCATCAACACCTTCGAAATAACGTTAAAAAGAGCAATTTCTTTAAAGCCCACTTCAACATGGCGGCAGTTTGACAAAAACTCAGAAAACCTGCAGCTGATCTAAATGACTCCTAACTTCCTGGGAAATTAGCCCGCTCCTTCCCCCAAAGCACTTACTTTTGCACTAGTTGCGTTTTTTGTCAAATCATGTTGCCTTTTCGTCTATCATATGACAGAGGTGGTGTACAGATGGCTTCAGTTAAGTAATATTTTGCAAAAACAGGCTCTAGCTCTAAGTCATAAAAATCACACAAGAAACTATTGTTTATGCGAAAGAGGAAAAATTTTGTCCTTTTCAATGGTCAAATAATTCATTGTCCCCCCCTTCCCCCTCCAAAAAAAGTAATAATGATGATAATTAAATACAGCGCAGATGGCTGCGTCCTGAGTGGACGTCAGGACTGTTCTGTCGCAGAAGAATTCTTCTCTTAGGAAAAAAAAGGTACTTTTTAAGGAAACCAAGAATTGTTCTAGGTAAATCTAATAAAGTTAGTTTACTCGATAGAACAAGGTGTGAAAACCGTCACCGCTTTTGCTTTGTACCAAACTCCTATACTTCCTCAGGAAAAACGTATGTTAACGGAAACCTGGAAATTTTCTTAGCAAAATCTTTTAAAGTTAGGTTTCTCCATGGAAAAGAGTGTAGAAACAGGTAGAGCTTTCATCTTTAATAAAAATACTTTTGTCCTCCACCTTCTCTTTGGAAGGGATGGTTTTTCTTATTGTGGTTTAATGGCATGATTGCAATTGGATCAAAATGGTTGGGGACCTTTTGGGGACGTATTAAGAATAGATTTATTGATCAACACAGAAATTTCACATAAAAGTGTTTAGTATGAGCTCGTTGTCCTCCTCGGACAAGTTCTGAGTAACGACAAATGCCCAGTCGTCTCCAAAGACATCGAGAAGGTACGGAGATAATTTTAATTGTAGATTTTCACGAACTGTCGATAACTAGAGTGTTGAATTCACCTCTGATCTGTGGAATCGATGCCAGCCAAACTCTCAGCCTGATATTAGCACTGTTACCTGGGAAAGTTTCTGTAACGTTGCATGGGACGGAGTCGTGAAGATGGCGTCCTGAAGACTCCAATGCTAAAGTTTTTATTGATACCGGTTTTATTTGCTGATGCATTACTAAACCTTTTTGACACCTGTACTATGACAAAAATCACTTAAAGTATGTCCATAGAACACAAACACTAACTGATTTCTATGAAGAGCTCGACGTCTTCATTATCGCAAAGAACTCCCATTAGTGCATTTTCATAAGTAGGTCTTTCATCCAATTAAATAGCATGGATTACACTCGACTCCAAGCCCGACATGATAATGGAGGCAACAATTTAAATTTAATTTTAAGGTTTCAATTTATAGCGTATCCATTTAAACAATTCTAGTCTGCTATCGCGCATTCAAACATCATGCTCTTGAATGTTCTGGCTTCGATGATGTCTGACGGACGCATAAAACGTAATCGTCTCAGTAAGTTGGACTTTGAACTTTACGCTTTCTTACTTTCTGGAGTGATTCCTTTCTACAGGAAGTGAGACGTAGAACTTGTGTAGAACGTAATATAAGAAAAATTTTCTTGCTTAATCACTTCATTAAGTGTAAGGGGAAGCTACAATGCTATGGGAGAGAAACAAATTCGCTTGGCATTATTACAATTTGGTAGCGGAACGTACGTAATCCTCTCCTACTGGCCTTGATGAATTTCTCCATTATGAATACGGAATTAGAACAATACTCGCGTTCTGCAATTTTAATTGGTAAGTTTAATAGCGCTGATCCCGGTAATGAATATTAAGGTTGCATCATTATCAAGTCACAGGTCGATTAACAATAGAGTAGAGTAAAATCTGCGATTCAAATGAAATTTATTTTATTCCAAATTATGTAGATATTCTACCGCTCAGGACCTGGAATGAAACACATGCCTGGTTGTCAATCGCCCTTTGTTGAACGAATATGGAGTTCTTGGCGGCCGTTTGCTAAAATTGACTCGAATGTGGGAGTGAAAAACTAAATGAATTTTTCTGCAGCAACTAATGAAACATTGACACGTGTTTTAGAATGTTGATCTACGATGAACAGCTTTCTTGGGGGTTTTCGCTTTATGATTGTGATATGACTGCTCCGAATTTCGAGCGTACGAAGCCATCTGTCTGAGAGTTAGGGTTCTCGGCCGTTAAGAAAGGGAAAACTGAGTCTAAAAGAAAACTGTAACAATTGCGACTGAGAGAGTTTGATAAATCATGAAAGTCATGTTGTCTTTTTCGACTGACGGATGATGGCTAAGGACCAAATTACAACAACAGGTTAAATTATGCGGAGTGTTCCACTTGTCATTCATTTTTTTATAGCACAATATTCGAAAAAGGTTTTCCATCAAACCCTTAGAGAACACCTAGCCACTTGGTCCTCAGTCAAATGGGTCCTTTCCAGACATGTTAAAATGGCAGTTAATTTACCCTGAAACATAGGGAGTCAATTTACTCTGACATATTGACCAACTTCTATTAAAAGTTGAAAATGAAAATGAAAATTACGAGGCAGTTATTGACTTCGATTTGTGACGGTTAAGTTATATCCTCATTCAGAAGGGCGCATAGTCGCGGTCAGTGAACGTGCAAATACAAATGAGGTGAGCGCAACAATTGTGTTGCTTAGTGTCCCGACATATCTGAATGCCAAGATACTGAAAGGAAAGGCCATCTTTAGATTTTGTTCAAGCAGGTGACACGTTTTGAGCAAAACTGCAAGAGAGAAATGACGTTGGTCAAATAATCCTGTAGCAACTTACTCGTTTAAAAAAAGAGATGTAATCCATCGAGTCAATGTCTCTGACAAAATGATTCTACGATTTGCTGATACCTTTTGAACGATTTTTGCAGATTCCTTCGAAAAACTAAATGATCGTATCTTAATAGGTTTTTTATAATGCTTGACTTATAAGACCCATATCACGACTGTGGCATGCAATATTCAGAGAACAACGACCTTCTAAAGTTTGTTTCAGGAAAAACCCAAGCGATGCCTCAAGCAAAAGCTGTTGCATCTCAAATTCGATTGCGGATCGGTGGAATGATTTAACCTTCAGTCACTCAAAATGCGTTTGCTTTGGTGCTGACTTTAAGACCTTTACTTAGACTGCCGTATATGATATTTCACTCGGCATCGACCATTGGAAAGGCGTAAAAGGATAAATATATTAAGGGATAGCAATCGTGCTTTTAGGCAGAACCTGTTATCACACACTACCTTCGGTGTTGCGTGAAGCTAATGAAATGGTAAAAAGAGGGAGAATCGTTACTTTTTACAGGTCTGCTTTGTAAGCCAAGCTCTATCGTTGTAATTTTTTTTTATTTTTCACATGCTTTTACCTTGGTGCTTTTTTCATATCGTAATAGTCGTTTCTCTAGGTACAAGTGATGTAGTCATTTCGTACTTCGTTTACTTCCAAGGACATCACAATGCTAGGTCCAAATCCATCTTTTAACTAACTAAAATCCTGCAGCTGAGCTTTCTCAAGTGAGCAAATATTTCTCATGGCCACGCACATATCCCTCATGTTTCTTTGAAGAGTTCGTGACTTCTGCAAGTAGATCAAAATAAGTTGTTAACATTCCATACTAAAATACGATTACCGATTGGAAGGAAACGAGTCACCTGCCAGAGGATAAAACTAACCAGCTCTCAAAAGCGAACAAAATTTACTAATTTGCTAGAAAAAAATGAAGAAAAAGATATACCAAAATTGCTGATCTTTTGCCGTTGCATGGTCTTGAAAAAGTATTACACTGCTGATAAACTGCTTCTGTGTCAAACATGAAGCATAGAGCAAATAACAGAGAAATTATCAAAGCGAACTTCTTGCTGGCCATTTGATAGAAGTAAAAGAAAGGTGAGGTAAAAATTTGTGACTGATAGTTCTTCAAAGGCTGTGCTATTTGAATTAAAGTTCACTGTGCCCTTAAATTTAAAGGAAACTTCTACACCTCTTTTAGGCGATGTCCTGAGGGCTTTTGTTTTTCGATTGTACTTGTATACACTGCTTTTTGAAATTAGTTTCTCCGCCGGGAGCTACAGAAGTTGTAAACTACTTTAAAACTACTTTACTAGAGTAAGAAAAGTAAAAGTAAAAGAAAAATTCGATGGTACTTGCGGTCGAGTGATCGTGTTGAAAATTACCGCCATTTTCCTTTTTGCTTTTAATATGGGTATGGCGTCTCTGAGTGAAATACTAATCTAGCGTGGTACGAGTACGAAAATGGTGTTGGGAAAATCCAGAAGTTTCTGCGTCCCTGGATGATCCAAACATGTTGCATCTGATCTCTTTCAAGTGGGAAAATATTTCTAGGGTCCTTTGGAAAATTGGAAGAAAAGAAATCACCTATCGGGAGTCAAAAATAACTAACTATCTTGGGTGAACAAAATTTACTCGCTAGCAAGGGAAACTTTCGATTCACAGGTGATCAAGTC